TGTTGAATAAGAACCTCATCCTCACTGAACCGGCCTGCATTACATATCCGCTCAAATAGCTCTCCTCCAGATGCATATTCCATCACAATAGCCAGATGGGTTGGTGTCAATATGACCTATGTCAAATAACAGATCACAAGTTAAATCTTTCTCAAGGATGACAAGAGAGAGAATACACCTTAATAATGGAATAGACCTCTTTGAATCTGACAATATTTGGATGCCTCAGTGACCTGTGGTTGATAATTTCCCTTTGTACATTTTCATCTATCTGTTGCACACAACACAGAAAGAGGAAAAAGAAACACAAAATCAAACTGAGAAATTCTTCATAGACACATTTTGCAAGTGCAAAATTTCACATCAACATCAACTATAGCATATCTAGTTCCATACTTGCCGTCTCAAATGATTTTCTAAATTCAATACCCTTTATGTAAGAAATCTAAAATAGAAAATAAACATCAACAAATTGCATTTGCAGCTGCCAAATTAAACTTCATCAAACAGAAACTTAAAGACCCACCGCGGCCATTACTTCTCATTCACTAATACAGGAAAGCATGATATACACAGAATAAACACAAATAAGAAATTGAAAGAAGTTGATCACCTAAACTAGCAATTAACTAAAAAAATTCCAACTCCAAAAAGCTACACGCAACAAATCACATAATTCTTCACCAAATTTAAATCCATTCACGCTGAGCCACCAAAAAGAAAACCATTAATTCCCAAACATGGAAAACCCAGAAAAAATCACTAAAAAGTTTAGAAACTTTTGGTGTTCAGAGTAATAATAAAAGACACTAACCTTCTCACCTCTCTCGATATACTTAACAGCAACAAGCTCCTCAGTCTGCTTATCTCTCATCAACCTAGCCACCCCGAAATTCCCTGAACCGATATCTCTAACCAGTTCATAACGATCGCTGTCATGCATGATTGGCATGTCCATCCCAGGTCCTACTGTTATTGCTGATCGATCCATTTCTCTCTTTTCTCTTTTACTCGACCAAAGCTTAAACCTTTAAAAAGAGAAACCCCAGACCAAAAAAGAAAAGAAAAGAAAAGGAAAAGTGCCAAACAAAAAGCACTCACATTATCATAGCACGGTTTCAGAGACACCCAGTTTGAGATCGAGCTAGGCGGTGATGGTGGTGGGGTGACGTGGCAGTAAAATAACCGTTCGATGTGTGTTTTTTTTTTCTGTTTTGGTTGGTGAAGAAGTGGGTTTTTGCCCGTGAAATCTTTACCCACCTGAACTTCTTGTTTCTTTTCCTTTTTTGAATGATTTTCTGGGGACAGATTTAAGAAAGAAACAAAGAAGACAGCTCGTGAACTTCTTCTTTCTTGAAGGATTTTATGTGGCCTTTTTATTTCCTCCCCTCTTTTTCTAACCGCAGATTTTACTTTCCTTCCCTCTCTGTTTAAAAGAAAGTTTTTACTGACTTTAATGGGTTCTCCCCTCTTTTATTTTTTTTGTTTGTTCTGTTTCTGTTTTATCCAAAACTGAGAGGAAGGGAGAGAAAGAGAGATACTTTGGCTTCCTTCAGAGTTTGGGAATTCTCAGAGGCGGAGAGTCGGCCGATGATTGGCCTATGAATGAGTGAAAAGTGTGCTGAAATGACTGGATTGTCCATGGTGTTATTCTCCGGTGTCTGTCTTGTCTGAAAATTTTTGCCCTTTTGGTTGGTCCCGAAATGACTGATTTGGGGCTTTTAGCCTCCTGGATAAGGTTTCTCAGCTTTACGAGGGCAACTCTTTTGGAGTTATGTGAAACGGTTCAACACTCGATTTGCTGCCCAACACGACAAATCACATGCCACAAACTGCAAAATTTGGAGTCAGATATATACATATACAGTTTATTACAACCTTATTTTAAGGTTATTTAATAGTTTAATAGTGAAACAACTAGAAACCCTTCTTACTTATATCAGCCTGCAAAATCAAGTATAAAAATATTGGCGTGTAAATGTGGTTACAAGAATTTTGGTGGATGAGGTCTGTAAGCCGCTGCGTCAACCCCTCGGGCACTGACTTTATTAGAGTAGGTAACCCGGTTCAAGCAGCTCTGTGTGGAGGGTCAAAGGTGGTGGCGGGCTAGCGGCTGTGACCTTTTAGTAATTAATTTTCGTTTCAAATTATATTATTGACTTGATTTATAATTGTGTATAATTATTTTTTATTTATTTTTTATATAAAATCTTTTGAGTCCGCATCATACGTAATTCATAAATATGGAATTTAATCTCTTTTTCTTTTGAATTTCTCTGCTAAACGTTTAAATCAGAGAGAGAGTTAAAGTTACTTTGTCTCCTCCTTTTCATTTTGGAGAAAATTTGGGCTCCTTTTTTCGAGATCAAGGAAGCTAAATCATAACAAATATGCCTGGGAAACATGGATGCCAACCTTAACAATATGCTTGGAATATGGATGCATATCCATAACCAAAAAGTATTTGTTTTAGAGGCAATCATCTGAAGTAATTAGCTCTTTAGATGCAAATAACTTGCTTTTCAAGGTTTATATATGTATGTATGTATGTATGTATGTATGTATGTATGTATGTATGTATGTATACCTTTTCAACCAAGCAATGTCATGAGATCATGAAGCTAGCCCAGAGTTGAGCTGAATAGCAGTAACAGATTATTTTCATGTTTAATCGAGCAGAAGAAGGTGCATGTTGATTACATATATGCAATAAGCATGAAAGAATCATTAAAAGGCATTTTGCTAATGTATACATTAAAGCTTAAAATCTAAAGGTGATCATGGGGGGTTGTATGATCATTGAAACCGTGAGGAATTCCCCAAATGAGGCCTGGAAAACCATGGGCGACCCTGGTTTCAGCATTGCTGTCTTCTTTCCTCCGTCGCAAATAAAAAACGAGCATGGCTAGAAAGATCACTTGAAGGTGACTTAAACAACATGAAGTCTCGCAAGAACATCAAGTTTTCTGTAAATATATATAATAAAAAGGAAAAAACAATGGGACAACCAATTAAGTGATGGTATAGTGACAAAAACAATAAAAAGAAAAAGAAAAGGCAGACGAGATAGTTTTCCCTGTGATCATTTTATTAGAGTACTGTCTTTTTCATGCTCAGTTGAGTTGGTGCGATTACACTTCCAAGCACAGTGCCAACAAGGATGATACCCCAATTATTGGTGTTTCTGGAAAGCATTTCCCCAACAGAGAGGGAAACCCAGGCACTGATCCTTTGGTGGAAATGGAACCTTTGCGGTTCCCTTAATTAAACCTGTCAGACGAGCTATCCATATTATCCGGAGACACTTTCCCATAACAATCGTCTAGAGAGTTTGAACATGTGTAAACAGCTTGTTGGCTAATTGTGACAGATGAAAATCAAGTGGCATTGTCAATACCCTTCAGCAATCAGCCTTAGGCTGACCTCGTCAAAAGATTGATTTCCAGGATAAAAGCAACCTGAGATTGTGACAAAAGGATAAACCATGAAACTGAATTAGCAAGATCCCTAGGTTCGACAATGCTTTCCCGTCTGAACTTGTTAGTTTTGAAAGCTGCCAGTCAAGAATTAATTCAAGAGGATGCCAGGACTATCAATAAATAATCTGCAAACTGATAAAGAATCCATAAAATGAACCCTATTTTTGGCCTAAATTGACTAATCATTGGACAAGTTTGAGTCCATATGGACTTATTGAGGACTGCCAGACATAACACAAGTTTGACTCCTATATGACTTGATAATGATTAAAAAAAAACCTTTATGACTTGATTATGATTAAAAAAAAAACTTACATGCCTAATGTAAAATTAATATGTATAAGCCAAATAGTCAGTACACGTTAGCAGATTAAATCTCCCAGTCTGATTTGGTTAAACTCACAGTTATTGAATCATTTAGTGCTTGAGAATGTTGAATTAATGGTTTAATCATGTTTATACACATTATCTTGCCTTAAGGTGTGAAAATTCTGACACAACTGAGTTAATCAAAAGTGTTATGTCTTTAGCATATGTTATATACTAATATATCCTACTTAATCAATAAATCTTGTCAAGGATTCATGAAACAATTAATTAATTATGTACGAGATCAATTAATGCCCCAGGACAGGCCAAGAAGGAATGGGTTTTAGGCCCAACTAATTGTACAATAAGTGGTGGCTGGTACCTAAGCCCGAAGGTTGTCTCTTGTCGCCAGTCAAAAGCCATGTCTCACGAACCAAAAAGAAAGAGGTTCGGCATAGGCAGAAAATGCTAGTAAACAGAGCGCAAGACCTCTCCCCAACTCTAACCACCATCGCCACCAGCTTCCCTTCCTTAAACCCTAACGCCTGCAAAACCCTTATGCGCACTAACCCTTTTTCTTCTCTCTCTTTCCTCCGCCTTTTCCGCCCTCTTTCCCACACCCAAGTCCTCGTTTTCAGCCCCCGTATCCCCCACCCTACCCCACAACTGCCCCCTTCATTTTCCCGCCACCGTTTCTTCTGTTCTTCCTCTTTCTCGGCCGCTTCCGTTAGTTTCATCGCTGAGAAGGAAGGGGAAGAGAAGTGGGATTCTTCAAACACTGAGAATGAAGCATTTGCTTTTGAAGATGATGGTGGGGTTTTTGCGGGGAACGATATGAAGCATTTGGTTGCGCCGGAGATGGAAGTGAAGGAGTTGGAAGAGTTACCTGAACATTGGAGAAGGTCGAAACTTGCTTGGCTTTGCAAGGAGTTGCCTGCTCACAAGGCGGGGACTTTGGTTAGGATTTTGAATGCGCAGAAGAAGTGGATGAGGCAAGAGGATGCTACTTACTTGGCGGTTCATTCTATGAGAATTCGCGAAAATGAGACCGGGTTCAGGGTAATATTTCTTTTGGATTTTGATAATGTTTTGTTCACAGTCTAAGGAATATTTGGTTGGTCATCGTCAGTGTGATGTTAGAGGCTGCAACTTTGATACTTCGATTGCAACCAAAAAAAATAAAAAAAATTGAGAAAGACGATTATTTGGTTAGGTAAAGAAATTCATGTTATGATTGAACTGTCGAAATTTTAATCTATGTTAGTATTTCACACTGTGAAACTTAATATTTTAGTTAACTTGGGCAAGTTGTAGGAAATTAAATGTTCTTAGAAAAGGAAGAAGGAACAAAAAGGCAGTTAAGGTTAACCAATGGTGGAAATACTTGAGGATCGCTTATTTTTGCTAAAGTGAAGATCCCTACGTGTTACAAGTACTTCTCCAACGCAAAAGGGTTTACCTTTGCTACATGCCAAAAAGTATGATATTGTTGTCTATTGATTCCTTCCCGATTCTGCTTCTTGTATTTTTTACTGCGGGTATGTTCTGATTGTTTCTATAATACTTTTGAATTTTTTTAAAAGTGGGAGAGGTGTCTTTTAAGGATGGGGAATTCAGTGTCACTTAATTGTCTGAAATGCTGTTGCCTGCGGTCATGCTGAACTAGGCTGTAGGTTTGCTTGTCTACCTTCTTTCTAAAGTTAGAGTGAATTTTCTTCTCTGGCTGTTAGATTGTATATTTTGGGTTTGGCTTGGCACCTTAACTTTTTTTTTTTTGAAAGATGGGTTTTATTAATGATAAGCTGGAATGCCATGGGGAATCTTAAACTTTGAGAAGTTAGAGACTCCTATTGGCATAGAAGCTAACATGAGACAAGCCTATTCTGAACGATTACAAAAGAAGCAGCTGCTCAAGGAGCACTTGGCGGCATACTCAACACAGATAATCTCAAAAAGAAGCAGCGTTCTGGATAAAACCCCTAAACAAAAGTCTAACAGTTTTGTGACTGATTTTCTTATCTTTTTCTTGTTGCAGGTCTATAAGTGGATGATGCAGCAACATTGGTATCGATTTGATTTTGCTCTTGCTACCAAGCTAGCAGACTACATGGGCAAGGAGAGGAAGTTTGCAAAATGTCGGGAGATATTTGATGACATAATCAACCAGGGACGTGTGCCTAGTGAATCTACATTTCATATTTTGATTGTTGCATATCTTAGTTCACCAGTTCATGGTTGCCTGGATGAAGCATGTAGCATTTACAATCGGATGATTCAGTTAGGAGGTTACCAACCACGTCTTAGCTTGCATAACTCACTTTTCAGAGCTCTTTTGAGCAAACCAGGAGGCTCTTCAAAATATTATCTAAAACAGGCTGAGTTTATCTTCCACAATTTAGAAACATGTGGCCTTGAGGTACAAAAAGATATCTATGGTGGCCTAATTTGGTTGCATAGCTATCAGGATACAGTGGATAAAGAAAGGATTAAATCACTGAGGAAAATGATGCAAGAAGCAGGTATGGAGGAGGGCAGAGAAGTGCTTGTGTCTATCTTGAGAGCTTGTTCAAAGGAAGGGGATGTTGAGGAAGCCGAAAGAACTTGGCTCAAACTACTTGATTCCGATGGCAATATCCCTTCTCAAGCTTTTGTATATAAAATGGAAGTTTATGCAAAGGTTGGAGGAATTATGAAATCTTTGGAGGTATTCAGGGAGATGGAGAAGTATTTGGGTTCTGCCAGTGTTGCTGCATACCACAAAATCATAGAGGTTTTATGTAAATCCCAGCAAATGGACCTTGCAGAATCCCTCATGAAAGAATTCATGGAGAGTGGTAAGAAGCCACTTATGCCATCTTACATTGAGCTAACAGATATGTACCTCAATGTGAGCTTACATGATAAATTGGAGTCAACCTTCTTGGAGTGCCTAGAGAAGTGCCGACCCAATCGTTCTATTTACAATATATACTTGAACTCTTTGGTTAAAGTAGGTAATCTTGAGAAAGCAGGGGAAATTTTTAGCCAAATGCATGGTAACGCGACAATTGGTGTTAATGCCAAATCATGCAATACCATTTTAGGTGGATACCTCTCTTCTGGAGATTTTTTGAAGGCAGAAAAAATATATGATCTGATGTGGCAAAAGAAATATGAAATTGAATCTCCGTTGATTGAAAAGCTTGACTATGTCCTTAGCTTGAGCAGGAAAGAGGTTAAGAAACCTGTGAGCTTAAAGTTAAGCAAAGAACAACGAGAGATTTTGGTGGGATTGCTGTTGGGTGGTTTAAAGATAGACTCGGATGGAGAGAGGAAGAATCACATGATACGGTTTGAGTTTAATCAGAATTCTTTTACACATTCTATTTTGAAGAGACATATTCATGATCAATACCATGAGTGGTTACATCCTTCTACTAAGCCAACTGGTGGTAATGATGATATCCCACACAGATTCAGTACCATCTCCCACTCATATTTTGGTTTCTATGCAGACCAGTTTTGGCCAAGGGGTCAACCAGTGATCCCAAAGCTAATTCACCGGTGGCTGTCCCCTCTTGTTCTTGCATACTGGTACATGTATGGGGGCTACAAAACATCATGTGGGGATATTCTTTTGAAGCTGAAAGGAAGCCATGAAGGTGTCGAGAAGGTTGTAAAAACATTGAAAGCAAAGACACTTCATTGCAGAGTGAAGAGAAAGGGGAAAGTGTTTTGGATAGGATTTCTAGGAAGCAATTCTATGTGGTTTTGGAAACTGGTAGAACCCTACATATTAGATGACTTGAAAGATTTCCTGAAGGCAGGCAGTGATACCACAGATGGATATGCAGTCGAATCTCAAGATATCAACTTCGACAGTGCATCTGAATCTGATGAAAAGGCTTCTGATTACAACGAGGATGATAATTAGTAAGGCATATACAAATAAATGATGCCAATCTTTCGATTAGAACGTGGTTCAACATATTCATCAGAATTTTTTGGTTAACAATTGCTAAGGGTGATACAACTGAATGTGTCTAGTTCTCTGGTTTCTGAAGCTAGGGACATTTAGACTTGTCAGCCCAAAAGTATTGGTGGCATTATGCGGCTGCATGGGTAGTTTGTGTATATCTATTAACTACTGAACCACTCCAATGTATACCATCTTTTTGCTAGAGTATATAATCTGTATATGTGTTCATTTTATGGTCGATCATAGTTGGTCAATTAGCGGCCCAATCAAGCGTATGGGCCCAATATTGAAATTAGGCAGGCTTTGGCCCAAGTACCATTTGGTTTGTGGATCATCACCCAAACCCAACAATTGCTCTTTTTCCTCAAACGTTTACCTAGCTAAAGGTACGTGTACTTCTCCGACTAACCATGTTACATTAATAAGGCAAATATTAAATGTTATTTATAGATGACTGCAAAAGATTATATTTATAAAAAAAAATTTTAATATATAAAAATAAATGTGTTAAATAAAAAATTTATTTGTTCTAGATAATGTATTTAATGAAAAATGTTTTTTAAAATAAAATTTTAAATAATATTAACATTTGCTAAAGCATCCTTTGTGTTGAAAAAAAAAAACAGGTTTTCTTAGAAGAAACAATATCCCGAAAATGCCCTTATTCGGCTGCTCCTTTCCATTCTACATTGCATTTTCACCTTGCTTGCATGAGTCTCCATTTTTCGAAAAAGACAGGCAACGCAGCCCCCTTTCTCCTCCGCTCTTTTCAAAGTCTCTCTCAATATAACCGGAAAACCAGATTTTTTTCTTATATTCAAAAAAAAAAAGATGGTGTCGGACTCGGACCTCGTGACCCGACTCCGAGAAATCCTACGTGATTCCGACCTCGACACCGCCACTGCTGGTAGCGTACGGAGACAACTTGAAAAAGATTTCGGCGTCGACCTATCTGACAGAAAAGGCTTTGTGAGGGACCAAATCGACATTTTCCTCGAAACCCTAAATCAAGAAAATGAAAAAGAACAAGGACCAGAATCTGAAAATGCAAAGGTTGAAGAAGATGATGAAGAAGATGAAGATGAAGATGAAGAAGAAGAAGAAGAAGAAGAAGAAGAAAGCAAGGGAGAGGGAAGCGAAAAACCAAGGCAGGTTTTTTTTTTAATTTTTTTATTATCATTATAAATAGGTTTATAAGGAAATGAGGCGCTTTAACTGTTTACTTTTCATTTTTGAAGGGAAAGATTTATCAATTTTCATTTTATTTTTTCTTTTAAAGAATGGATTAAGAAAAGATTGTCAATTTAGTTTTTATTGTTGGTTATGATTGCTTTGCAATAATCAATTGAGTTATGTAAGAATTGATATGTCATCTGAATTGCTAGTATATCGCAAGTTTCTGGTATTAATATTGTGGATAGTTGTTGCCTTGTTTTTATTTAGGAGAGGAAGTAAAGTGGATAAACCAGTCAAGAAAAGAGGAGGTGGCTTTCAGAAAGTGTGTAGCCTTTCTCCTCAGCTTCAAAAAGTAGTGGGAGAATCTGAATTGCCTAGAACTGAGGTATGGCTATTGGTTATCGGCGTCTGTTTGCGGATTTTTGTTTTTGTTAATTGTAGTATTTCACAATGGTAATTTTGGAAAATCTGAATTCCTTATTTGACTTTTATTTTCTCATTTATTATGCTCATAGGTTGTGAAGAAACTTTGGTTATATATCAGGGAGAACAATTTGCAAGACCCAAAGAACAAGCGAAATATTATATGTGATGAATCATTCCATGCCATTTTTCGCGTAAATTCTATTAATATGTTTCAAATGAATAAAGCCCTGACCAAGCATATCTGGCCGTTAAGTGCAGAAGATGGTATTTTCTTTGGATGCATTTTATATTTATCTGCTATGGATGCTCCTTTTTCTCTAGTTTTTGCCCATGTAACTTACATACGGAACTCTATGAGGATGATTTCCTTTTTTATTTGCATTAAAGGAACCAGACCCACTATGTCTACATTGATCATTGCAATTGATTAATTATACAATGCAAAGACACTTGGACATATGCACACATGGACTCACTAGTTTTAAATTTGCCAGTATCAAAAGTTTTCTCTGCATTTTTTACTAACAAGTAATGTGAGGAAAACTGTCATTTATTATGGTTCCTCTATTGTAATTGATTTGAACGATAAGCTTGAGTGAGAGAGCCTTCGAGCGGGCTTGTAAGTCCTATCTTTTTAAATTTAGATAAACACATTTTATTTATGATGGTTCCTATTATAATTTCCTAGTTGTAGTAGAAGATGGTTATAATGGGGAAGCAATACTTTCCATGTACTTTGGAGGCCCTAAGCATCTAAGCCATTAACCTGTTGCCAATAGTTGTTTAGGAGGTGATAAAATAGAAACAGATGTAAAAATTTATTGCACATGAATCATAGATACTACAAAAATAAATAAATAAATAACACATGTTGATGAAAGATAAAGAACATTTCAGTGTTAGCGATTATGTCTTGCTAGCAATTTGTAAACGTATTATTTTTGCTGCTTTCTTAGGTTATTTTTCTTTCTAATGGATGTGACATGTAATATTTCCAATGTGCAAACTAATCGATTTCTTCCAGTCTTGGATTACCTTAGGATGTTTACATTTTTCTGCAATTTCAACTTCAACTTCCACAAACAGGCTTCCACATTGAACTTCAGTTTTGTTTCACTAATGGTATATTATAATTTTCTTATGTCTTTTCTCTGAAGGCATTATCATGAACTTGCATGATTAATGGGGTTGTTTAAATATTAACACTATGCCATCAACGTAAATTCAGAAAATGTAAAGCATGAGATGAAATGTGAAGATAGTCATGATTCTGTATCAGTAGATGCTAAAAATGCAGAGGAAGAAGAGGAAGAAGAGGAGGAGGAGGAGGAGGAGGAGGAAGAAGAAGAAGAGCAAGAGCAAGAGCCAGAGCAAGAGGGTAATGCACGTGGAAGCAAGAACAAAAGGTTTTTTCTTTTTCTTTTTCTTTTTTTTTTTTCCTGACTATCATTTTTGTTGATGTTTGCTTGTACTTCTGAAATCCATTAATCAAGTTATACGTGTTCATTGTCAATCCTTTATGTGTGTTCATTGTCAATCCTATATGTGTGTTCAATGTCAGCCTACTATCTATAGATTTTCCTTGTGAAACTAGCTATCCAATTGTGAGATAGAGAGACAAGTTTCAAAGTGCAACTATACTATTAGTTTCTGGTATATATATTTGTTTAAGTTTTGTACCATTCCATCAAGTTGTGCAGTTGCAAGGATCCCTTGATTTCATGGTTTTATGTTGCCCTTCATTGGTAGTATCTCCGTGCTATTAGATCGAGTAGAATAGATGAATGCTGAAATATGTCGCTATTGAAAATATACTGAAGAGCAATATTTCTTAAGTTACTGACTGCTGGTGTAAAGTTTCTTAACAAAATTATTGTAGGTCAGCTAAGGTTGATAAAGATGTCAAGAGAAGAGGAGGCGGGTTTACTAAGTTGTGCAGTCTTTCTCCACAACTTCAAGCATTTATTGGAGAACCTGAGTTGGCCAGAACAGAGGTATACAAACAAAGTTTTGGAAAATTCTTTTTCAACTTCTTGTTAAACCATATTATCTAGAGAAACTTTTTGAATGAAAATTGTACTTTAATTCTGAGGAAATTTTTCCCCCCTTGTTTTACCCTTACTTCTAGGTTGTCAAGAGATTGTGGACCTATATCCGGGAAAAGAATTTGCAAGATCCAAAGAACAGACGAAATATATTATGTGATCAATCATTGCATGCTATTTTTCGCGTAAATACTATCAACATGTTTCAGATGAACAAAGCTCTGTCCAAACACATATGGCCATTAAATGAGGAAGATGGTATCGTCTTAAACAGGATTTCCCTTATAGTTCATGAGATTTTGATATAAATATTATTTGATCTATGTTATCACCTCACATTTTGTCCTGCTTGGCCAAACGCTAGCATGGCTCTTCTTGCCTTTAAATTTTCCTTGGTACTTGAATTTGGAGTAACTTTTATTTTATTGATGTGCTTTAACAAGATGGCCCTTCAAATTATTATGTATAAATGCAAAGTTGGTAAATTTTCTTATAAAAGGGGATCCTTTGACTTTTGTATAAATGCAAAGTTGGTAAGTTTTCTTTAGGAAGGGCTGCTTTGACTTTTCAATTCATATGATACCAATTGATATTTGGAAATTTTATTTTCTCAATTATGCTGCATGTAGAATTGAGATAAAATAGAATACAAGATCTATTCTAAATTGATAATTAGTTCTAATTATTAATGTTATTGAAGGGTTGATTTCTTCAACTCTTCTTTCAACACAATGAAACTAATTTTAATATTTAGCACGTTTGAAATATACTTTAAACATGTTTCTTGTGATTTTTGAAATATTAATCTAGCAATAGGCTTGTGATGGAGTATTATTTTTTAGATTCCGAAGAATACTTATTTTAGACAGAAATGCAGAAAGTAGAGCATTCATTGTTTGAGCTTATCTTATAGTGACTTTATATTTATGTGGACATAATACAGGTTTTTCCGCAGCCCATATAAATAGGTTATTATCATACTATTGACAGAGTTGGCTTTTTGGATGATTGAGATATTGAGATTTGGGATTTTAGGTTTTGGCAATCAAAATTCAGTTTTATATCAATTTTTTTTTAATTAAATTCTTGGTAGTTGATTTAGGGTTTTGAGATGTTTGTATGGTAAACCTAGCAGTTTGTTTCTGGCCTAAACTGTCCTCGAAGTTCATGCAAGGTACAAATATAAGAACCTCTAACAGCACATTATCCATTCAGCCTGGTTTAAGTGGTTCATTTTTGTTTATGTGACTGCTTTTGCCCAATCTCCACATTCTACGCCTTTTGTAATATCTTTCTCTATATCTGAATACAATCTCTTTTTCTGTGCCATAATTTAAACCAGCAGAAAGATAATCTCTTTCTGTGTTTTTTTTTTTTTGGGGTTAGTTTCCTCAGTAGATTCATAATCCATATGAAATCTTGTAAATAAACAAAATGACCAGTAGGTGATAATTGAGCAAGCAGTAACAAAACCTATAAAAATAGTTTTAGGTACCTTTACTGAAGTAGAAATTTGTACTACTTCAAACTGTCTGGTGAGTGCAGGTCCAATATCCCATATACTTTTCCTATATTAAGATCCTTGTTATG